ATTTAAAACAAATATGAAAAATGAAATTGCAGTTTTAGGCCACCACTGTTTTATAAATATTGACACCACTGTCAGTTTTTATTTTTTTGTGGTTATTTACACATAAATGGTTGTTTGTCACTAACAAATACTGTCAGAGCAGCCTGAGTCAAATAACTATGTAATGTTAATCTAAAAATCATTGAGTAGGACCTCTGGATGAGTTCTTCTTTGTTGAGAAAAGGTTTCATCTCTTCTCCAAGAGACTTCTTCAGTCTGAGGAGATACAGGCTGAAGAAGTCGTTTGGAGACGAGCTGAAACATTTTTTCAAGAAAGAACTCGTCTAAAGGACCTATTCATTTTTTAATATATATATTTTTACCTGGATTATTAAGACACGTCAGGACATACATAATGCTAATTTGACTGTGGTGTAAAAGCTTACAGTATAGCAACTAAATAAACCGCTATGAAATGTTTAAGGTTCACAAGGATCCATTTTAGTTTTGGCCTCACTCAGACTAGAAGTTAGCTTTTTTTTTTAGCTGGTCAGAAATGAACTTTATTTCTAAACTGAGGTTGTTAAAAATCTATCTACAGCAGGTAAGATATTAATTGTTCACAACCTTTCCCTGAACCCCATTACAAAAATCATTTTTATCCCTTTAAACATTTTCTCGTGGTAAAATAGCAACATATCCTCTTTTATTTTAGGAATTTTGGTTAAGTCTCTTGCTGTGTTGAGAATCTGACAATATGTTTTGTGATGGCGATAAAGCTTCGGCGCATCGTAATTAAACGGGTAGGACAGCTGAAGGTGGTAATTTGCACAATTTCTCTGTTGGCTTTGGATGATGCTCCCAGAATTCTGTGCACATTCATCACTCCTTTCTCTACCCCTGGGCTAAGCTGAAGCCCAGGTTTGTAGGCTTCGATGGTCCGCGTGCATTTCGAAGCGTGCACACGTAATGGGAAGTGAGACGGAGAGGAAACTCAATGCGTCCCATACACAAAGCATCTCTGGTTAACTTGCAGCAAGTGCAACAGATAGGCTTATAGTACTGTAACTGATAGAGTCAGTGTGTTTATACCTTATTTCTTCACCTCTCTTCCTTCAGAAACAGGATGATAACCATGTCCACAATGTTTTCTTTATCATTCTGGTGACACTTCACCAGTAGATTTCATCTGTGCAGCCCAGAGCTAGAGATTAACAGGTGTAGATGACAGGAAATGATGCAAGCAAGCACCACAGCAGTGGTTTGTAACCCTGTTCATTCTTTCTTAAGATGAATTGAAGTGCATGGCAGTGTTTTAAACTAAAAACATATTTCTCATGCATTCATTAAAGCTTTATAAAAGAGACACTAAATGCTTTTACAGAAACAGACGCTCAAGTCAAAGTTGGACAGTTGAGATTTTTTTTAAAAGGAAATGGTTTGTTTCGAAACATGCCTGTGTTTCCGTCAGGAGCTTTCATACCATCAGTGCAGTCCGTTAGGTTGTGATGACGCCGGCGGTGAAGACACAAACAGGAAGTGAAGCGCATCTCTGCAGCGGCTTCCACACGAGTGATCTAAGTTCCTCAATGGGCAGGAAGAGCAACATTTTTGCGTACTCTTCTTCATCTCTTTGTGGGCATAGTTAAGAAAAAATCTGGAGTGGCAATAAAATGAGACTGTTATTTACTGGAATAAATTAGGGAAATATTCTGGATGCACCTGCTGAGAGGATTAGGTCGTCTTTTCAGAAAAAAAAATGTTTACACCCAAACCACACTCACACATTCATAAAAACTAACAAGAGAAGGCCATTATTATGCCTAATCTTTGCTCCTGGGCGAAAAGGTAAATTGGAGCGTGACTCCAGGTCAGGCAGACAGGAAGTCGTTCAGCTGCAGATCAAACCGTATCCCCTCAGTTGTGCTGATCCCCCAATTCAGGGAATGACAGGTAATCTTTTTCTTGGCCTGGCCAGAAAAATCAATAAGTGGATAAAACAGGTTCAAGGTCATTTTAGTTGTTCAGTGCCTCCTCTGCCTTATTTTGAAATATTTTATCTTTGTGGTGCCTTTTATTTTGAAAAAACTGAAAGCACCCAAATGTCAAGCTTTGAAACAAATTTTGCTTCTCTTTTGTGATTTTAGACAAAGAAAGCAGTGAACATCTGGTTTACATGAATAACCTTTAGTTTTACTGAGCCTTGTGTAAACCTTCTGTATAAGCCTGGTTAATTAGGAGCTTAGCTCTATGTAGTTTTAGAGGTTTTGTTATTGATTCTTTTACTGTAATACAAATTGGTCTATTTAAAAAAAAATGTAAAAACTGACAACTTCCTGGTGCTTTAGGGGGCTTCCCGTACTAAATGCTGCACTGGCAGTTTTGCATCGAAGAATCTTTACATTCACATCTGCTCACATCCAAATGCATTTCTTTAAATAAAAGTTGTCTGCTGTTGCTAATCTCTCGTTGCCACATTGGTTTTTGATAAACTCCCATAAGCTGCAGAAATAAGGACCAAAGTTCATAAAGTGACCGCAAAGATAGGAGGCTGCAAAGTTTATGAAAAACTTCAATCGTGTTAGATTTTAATTTAGTTTCTATTTGATGTGAAGTAGTAATACAGCCCTCCTAGAGCTCCTGCTTTACCCTACTACTTCATCATAAAACTATTGGAACATCCCTAATCCTTGACTTGAAGGTGCACAATGCAAAGATGGAGCTAATCGACAGGGTCTAACAGTGAAAAGAGCTTCACCGTTTTTAAGGCATTTGGTTCAAATCATGTAAAATGTGGTGCGTGCAATCATGCCTGTACTTCCACCCCGCCAGCAAGCATTCTGGTATTTGTCATCATCCACCACACGCCCTTTTCTCCTGATGTGACTTCCTGTTTCTTCTTCTTCAAAATCAAAATGAAACTCAAGTTTGACAAATCTCTGTTAAGGCAGTGCATGTGTGGATGTGTAATTATGTATTTTCCAGATACATAGTTCAATTCTATATATACCACAATCAAATAACTATGTTACCTTCAGTTATGGAAATGCTATATATATA